TGCTGAGCATTGGAAAGAACATGTACACAACAGAAACACAAGCAATTTCAACCCTGCTTTACCAACAACTGAAAAGATCAGATATAACTGAGGATTCAACATGCTTCTCTGTATAGGTGACTTTGTTTCCCATTTTTCAAAAAATGGAAAAACTCTAACATGAGTCAGGCATGTTACAGAAGAATAGGGACAGCTGTGGCTTATGCGAGCAGTTGAGGACCCAGGACAGCGGTGCGGACCCAGGAATAACCAAAGGTTTCCAAGTTTAAGAGATTGGATCAGGTGGCTCAGAATTAGATTAAAGACAATCAATTCTCTGGAACAATCAATGCCATGCATTACTCTAACCTTCCCGGGGAGCTCTTTGTTGTGCTAAGAGGTTGCTCATCTGGTCTAATTTCTTCTCATATAGGAACTTTGATGTCCATTAGTACTGCACGGGAAATGAAGCTAGATGAGAAAGTGAACCTTCACTAAATAAATTAGACGAGTGGATAATTAGAAAAGAGATCTAAACTATTTCAGAGAAGCAGCTCCATTTTGGTTTTGTTATATCCTTAGTTCCCTTAAAAGCATGATATGGTGGTTCATAAATTACACGTGGAAATGAAATGTGTTTGATTTTGATTTGTTGTTGTTGTTGTTGTTATTTCTCTGAGATAGAGTCTCAATATATAGTTCAGGCTGGCCTTAAACTCCCTACTCAGTCCAGGCTGCCCTCAAACTTGTAGTGATCGTCCTGCCTCAGCTTCCCGAGTGCTGGGATCCCTCCTGGGATCACAGGCATGTGCCGCCATGCCCAACCTTGTGTATATGTGCTTTTGAAGATCAGAATCTCATAATATCTCTGAATGGAAGTCAGAGATCCAATCTGAGAATAATTAAATTTGCCATTAGTGAATTAAATACTAAAATGGTGTGAGGTGCAAACACCTGGAACATCTTCAGTCTATACCCGCAGTATAACTTGTATTTTGTACTCACTTTTGGCATATGTAGCCATATCTAGAAACACCTCTTATGTTAAGAATAAAAACTATAAGGGAGATACAAACTTCATATTGGGGAAGAATATTTAAGTTCTGTCTTTTGCACAGAAGTGAATATTTACATTTGTGTCTTATAGATATTAAATACTTATTCTTAAAAGGGCATACATTTTTGTTCGAATTTATAATAATGACTACTGTGTTCTTTCACAGTCATCTACCCTCATGCTGTAGAGTACACTTTTTTCTTATTTTTACTTGACCGAAATTCACTCTGCAGAGCATGTTTCTCTTCCTAACGTTAATAAATGTAAAACCTTGCTATTGCTAAAAAAATAAATTTATAATAGTGTATCACTTATGGAGAACAGATCATGTAACACAATAATTACCAAAACTCTCATGGAGGGTATCATTCTCCCACCTGGCAATATGGCACACGGATGAAAAGAAAGACAAAGAGAAAATTCTGCAGTTGAGACTCTGTGATGACCCAGTGCTTTCTGTGGAAAAAAGGGCCACAAGTTGGAGAGCTCACAGCTTTTATTGGTATCAGTCAGGGAGGTAGATGGGGGTCGCGGCAGAGTGCTAGAGAAGCGAAACTTTGCAGGCATGGTTATAAGGAGAAACAGAGCACTTTTGCACCAGACACAAAGGCCCTCCAATTAGCGGTGCAACAAATAGCTTGATGCATGCAAGGCTGGCACCTTTACTGCCAGGAAGGTATAATTCTGTTTGGGTGCCATGGCCTCAGCTGAGATGTTATCTCCTGTCTTAATCCTGGGATCTCACAGGCTCTTGCTGGAGCCCCCATTTCAGCCATCAGCAGGGGACAATTCTGATCCACTTTACTATGCTGAGACTCATTCACACCTCAGCTGGACTTGATCACATTTTTTTGACCAAGTAAGGGAACATCTTGCTTCAAGATAGCCAGCTTTGCATATCGCAGTAAATAGGGTCAAAGTAAAGGTCAAGTGAAGATGGAGGCAAGGAGCTTTGTTTCTCAGGGGAACACAGCTTGGCGATCTCCCACAAATAATATTTACAATAGTCTAATAAATTTATTAAGTATAAGTGTTGAGATCTCGTGTATTAAATACATATGGTGGACTGCATCAATGACAGGGGTCCCGTAAGATTATATTGCTCAGTGTGGTAATAGCTAGTTTGTATAGATACACTCAATGACATTCACTTGTGGAGATCACCAATGACGTATTTCTCAGTACATGACCCCTGGGGTTAAGTGACATGTGACTAATTGTAACTCTGCTGAAGAACTTTACAAAAATCCAGATTTGTTTTAAAAGGAAAAATCCTCTCATAATGTGATTCACCACTCTCAGACTCAAAAGATCTTAAGATTTAGAGGACAAGGGATGTTGTACTGGAGGTTTCTAAGGTGGAAATAATATCTTCATTTCTACTAAGAGCTGATATTTGTCCAGGCTATGTTATAATTTACCGTATAGTAGCTGAATTGCCATTTCCTTGCTAACTTTTGTCTTCTATTGGTAATTGGGTCTGTGACATTGTGGAATATAGTATTAAATTCTATTGGGATAGCTGAGCTTTATATATGGTTTATATTTTTGTAATATTTGATTTTATGTACTACCATTGTATTCAGTTATAACGATGTAATATGGTCAATTAATTTTCTTCCCTGGAGCTCTTTGAATTAAAATATGTCTGCACTTTTACATTTTGATTGTGGCCAAATAGCCTTTGAAAGAGATTTTTTTCTTTTTATATAATTTCTTTTTGAAAGATTGCATTTTAATAGCCTATCAATACTTGCTGTTTTTCTTTTAATCCATAAAATGTATTTAATTTTGGCAGTAAAATTGACTGCATCCATTTTTATGTTTAATTAACTTTTCAGTTTGGCTTTCATCTTTAAAGGCTTACAGCAGAATTTATCACCAAGCCATAATGTAGATGATGAATGGAAGATTCGGAGAGGCTGCCTAGCTCTGAATTTAGCTCAGTTGACCCCATTATAAAAAGGAAAAGCCAACAACAACATCAATATAAAAGACGACTTACCAGACCACACTGCACGCCAATGCTAACATTTATTTTGGATTGCTGCTATTTTCTGTGGCTCCTAATCCCCTTTCTATGTGCTCTGTTATAACTCCAAAGTACCAACTGCCCTTTGCTTAGAAGTTTGTCGGTGCAGAATCACAGCAGGGAATGACTGCCACACAAATAATAATGGCTACTTTGTATTGGATTCCTGAACACTGTGCTAAGCACGTCACTAGTTTCATCCTTCTGCCAGGTGGGTTTTTAGGCATTACTTTAAAGACTAGGAATGGGGTTTCTTGAGAGAGATTTAGTGTAGTGAAAGAAGTCAGGTCACCTGGGTTTGAGTCATGACTCTCCATTTTCTAATTCGCTAGCTGTGAGTTAATATTCATTTATTCACCCAGCAAACATTTTGGGCATCTAGTGTGTGCTCAGTATACTGGGCCTCACCCGGGAATAAAGAAGCACAGCTGCTGCCAGTCCGGGGCCGTTATCTGGGGGCAGTCAGACACCGGGCACACCAAAGAGAACGGAATGATAAATTGTGGCAATGCAGTAAAAGGAGGGAACAGGCTGCGATGGGGACTAACAGGCAAGGGTGTGGAGGACCCAATTTAGGCAGGTCGGGGTGCTCTTGGAGAGGGGACAGGCCTGGCTGCAGCAGGAATAGGAACTAGCAGGCCAGAGGAGTTAGCTGTAAAGGCATACTAAGGGGGAGTGATGTGAAGTTTGTGAGGGTGGTGGTGGGGGCTCCTCTAGGAATCGTGACCAGGACTCGGGGTTCTGTTTTTGTTTCAGGTGACCACTTGCAGAATGTGCTGGAGAGTACAGGGGAAGAGATCCAGCTGAAAGGCTGGGTTAGGAGTCTAAGCTAGAAGTGAGGACAGGAGAAGCAGTATAAGGATCCAAGGTGAATTCAAGATAAATTGCTCTTAATCTTTTTTTTTTTTTTTTTTTTTTGAGACAGTATCTTGCTATGTAGTTCAGACTAGCCCTGAACTCTCAGCAATCCTGCCTCAGCCTCCCAAGTTCTGGGACTACAGGCATGCACCATCATGTCTGGCTTGCATTTAACGTTGAATCACACGTGGTAGGTAAAGCAGAGGAAGGAACTGACTTCCAGCATTTTAGCTTGAGTGACGAGTTGGATGGTGGAGCCATTGTTGGAGATGGGAATAGGAAGAAGACAAAGTGGTTTGGAGCATACTGACATGTCCACATGATAATGATGTCAAATTCGTCATTAGATGTCTGGGAGCTCAGAGGCGATATCAGCACCTGAGTATGAACCTGTCTATCAGTACATGGATGGGATGTAAAGCCAGGAAAATTGATACGATCATGGGGGGAGTACTTGGGACAAGACATCAGGTCCCAGATTTAAGACCATTCCAGCCATCACTATTTTCCTGCTTGGTGGTTATTCTGTAAGGCACATAAGGCAAGGATAAGCTGATTGGGGCTGGCATTTTTGATCTCTAGTTTTCAAGGCTGATTATTTTCCATCAAGGTCTTATTTTGGGGGAAACATGGTAGTAGAGAACCTAAGATTTATAAAGAAATGGACAGTCCCTTTGGAAACTGGTGGGCAGATGCTACTTTAAGGGAACTTTGTAGGTGGCAGCTGCGGCTACATCAGCAAGCAGCAGCCTTCATTACATTGGGTTTCCCAGTGTCTCCTAGCAGTGGGAAGACACTGGTCATCAGAGTCAGTGCAGCCACCACATCCAGTAACCACGAATAACTGGCATGAGGAATCCTTCTAGGGAAAAAGGAAAATACATCCAAGATGCATACATTAAATCTGTGATTATTTGCTTGGATTTTAAGTGGTGAGCAAATTACACAGTTTCACTTTAAAAAAACAAAGCAACAGCTAATGGTGTTTTTTCAACCATGCAGATAACCATTTTTCCTGTGGTTTTTGATACAAAACCCTAGGGAGGTCTAGAAGTTCTGATTATCGTTACAGTGGCTTAGCTGACAACCAGTTAATTCTAGTTTTGCCACTCATAGATACTGTGATTTTTGGCAGTTATTCCACTCCTCTCTTTCAAGTCCCTTAGCTGTAAAGGCCAACTAGCACTCTGAAGTCACCCAGACACTGTTAGGATAAACTGCACAAGTGTCTTTAAGGCCGTGAATTCTTCAGCATGAAATATAGATCTGCAGTGAAAGGTTGCTAAGTGCTGACCTTTCATGCCTGTGCCGGTGTTATTAATGACCAGCCTGATTATCACCCTTGCATCTTTTTTCCTGTGCCCCTTTTCTTTATGTATTGCTTAAAAACATCGGCTTCCTTAGGTATTGGTTTTATTTTCCCGGGGCTACTTAGATCTTAACTGAGGAAGGTTGTTGTTGAGATTCTGCGCGACCAGATTTATCAAGCCTGGGTCATGGTGCATCTCAGAGGTGCCAACTCGGTAACTTCTGTGGTCAGTGCACGCTCTGCCATGCAGTTTAGGGTAATTTGCCTGAATCCCTTCAACCAAATGAGGCTTTCTAATCAATTAGATACAGAGGCATGAGATCCAGGGCAGGGCCCAGGGATTCGAGGTGCAATTCCAGCTGTCGCGTCCATCTCCATCAGCGCTCTGTCTCTGTGGCTGATCAAGGCTCCCGATGTTTACACGTTAATTGACGGGGACACGGTGGCACTGCCTGAGACTGAAGCACCTCGTGTCTGCTCGTGGATGACAGAATGGGTGGCAGAGCTCTAGTCACAGCTGTCCAAGTCCTCTAGTTTAGCCTCCTCCTTTAAGAGCAAGAAAACTGGCCGAGAGGAAGGACGACGTGCCTGAGGTCGTCTTGCTTGCCCAGAATGTTAGGTCTCCGGATGGGGCTCACTTGGCGCCCGCTGCAGCAGTATGAGGCAGACAGGGGTCTCAAGTGTGGGAAGTCAGACGCGGGACGGTGGGCTGGGCCAGACTATGGGCGGGGCCTGGGTGGAGAAGGCGGAGCTAGGAGCACAAGGGTCGAATCAGAGGCAGGACCGGGAAAGATGAGCGGGCCAAGGGTAGGCGGAGGCAGGGCCGGGGCGCGGCGTTGGGCGGGACGTGGGCGGGACGCGGGCGGGCCGAGTGCCTATCGGTCCCTTGAGCTGGGAGCCTGGGTTGAGCGCTCTTGGCGGAGGAGCGGATGTTGGTGGTGTTAGTCCTCTCGCGGCTCTTACTGCCAGCGCTGCATCCGTCGAGGGTCCACCTTCCCGCACGGGGCCGGACGATGGCCGTGCGGGCGTCGGGGACCCGCGTGCTCCACCTGCTGCTGGTCCCTCTTGTCGCGGCGCGCGGGGGAACAGCGGGCATGAGGAGCGGTGCGCCGGGAGGTGAGGGAGTCGGGGGCGCGCGGGGCGGTGGGCGGAGGCCTGGAGTGAGGACGGGGCTGTGGGCGGGGCCGGGGAGGGGCGTGGTCGGGAGGGTCCGACTTGGCCCGGCGCGTGCCAGCAGCCGCGGTTTGTTGGGGCCAACTCATTTTCCTGGGGCTCGCGTGCTGCTAAGCGGCGCGGAGACGACTCCCACGGGACCCACTCGCCCAGCAGGCTTCCTTGGCCGGGCTGGCCTCTAGCTTGACCAGAGGAGGAAATGCCGAGTACCGCAGCCCCTTCTCGCCTCCCCTTCGTTAGGGTCTCTAAACCTCGATTCCTGATTTTGGGACGTACAGTAGTAGCTTGGGAGAGTAGGATGATTAACTGCGGTATGTATTGCTTCTTGTAGACGGAGAGAAAGAGGTTGAGGAAGAGTTGAGTGCAATCCTGTGCAGAGACAGTTGCAGTTGAGCAGGAGGAAAGGAGTGTGGCTTTGCAGCCGGACAAACCTGTATTCAAATTCTGGCTGTGGAGCAGATTAGGATACATACACACACACACACACACACACACACACACACACACGCGCAGACGGGGCCTTACAATGTAAAAATTGGTTATTCCCTATCCTTTTATGGTGAAGCTGGACATTTAAAGGTGTTACATCTGTTCTACTATAAAGCATCATGGATGTTCAGTATTATAACCAGAGGTGATTGTTTCTTTCTTTCTGCCCCCACTTAGTACTTCTTTTATAACAACCCTCTTTTTGTATTACATTTATATTTTCCTTTTTCTTCGTCTCATGTGAGCGCCTAAGAACGGTGAATCCTACGCTGTACTCTTTGTGTGCACAGGACGAATTTATTATAGGAGTCTAGTAAATGTTTGTGGAAGGAACCAATGGAACGGTGAACCTCCCTGGATAGTTCCTTACCTGATAGGCAAAAGGTCACTAAAGGTTCTCTCTTCCTGCTCTGAAATCCTAAGGTTCTGTGTGTTCTTAGTAAATGATACCTGGAAGAAAGCAGTAAAACAGTACTGAATAGGTCGGTATTGACATCGAATCACACAGTCGCTTGGAATGTTAATATGCTGTTGTGTACAACTGCCTGGAAGGCAGGGCGTCTGCAAGTACAGCGGAGTCTGGAGACCTGATAACTGGTTGTGTTTCCCTAGCACGTTCCTTGACTTTGCTGATGCTTTATTTTTCCTTCTTTAAAAGGAAAGGGAGATAGTAGATGTTTCTCAGGTCATTTCAACTGTCATTGCTTTTCTGTTGGTATTGTATTGTTTTCACATTCATCTCAGATGCCTATAATGACTTTGTGGTTTTGAGTCAGTCCCCGCCCATAGAGATGGACCTGTCAGCTAGCAGCCGTACCTCTTTGCCTGATGGCAGGTCACGGAGCTACATAAAGTGACCCAGCTGGCAATTTTGTCCGTATTAAGGCATAATTTACTAGTACATTAAGATAAGTCTTAAACTGACCTAACTGCGATGGGGACAAGTGATTTATGGAAACCAAAGAGTTATTAGTCAATTATATTAGCTGTATGACATTTTAACTGATCGAAACTTTATTTTTAGCATGTGTAGTAGCCGAGTTCTTCATTCGAAAGAGAATAAAATAATTCATAGAAAAATGAGAGCTGTGAAAGCTTTTTTTCTCTTCTCCACCTTTAGTTATTTCATTAACATTTTCAAAAGTTAACAAATACACACCTAGTGGCTGTTGGCTCTACTTTTGTTACCTATGTATCTCAGCCTTTTTGCACAATTTGATTTGAAATTAAAAATTATTTTGATTGTGCCTCAAATACTAACTGAGCTCTATGCGGTAGACCATGAACACTGGCAGGTGGAGAGCCTTCTTGTGAGTCTCCTGGGATGGTGCAGGTGCCTGAGTTTATTAAAGGGGCTGCTGATGGAGCGCCGAGAAGGTTGTCAGTCAGTTGTCAGAATGAAGTTTGTTTTTCAACCCATAATTACAAATTAGGTGTAACAAGTACTTTTTTATAATTAGGATATGAGTTTTAGTAAAGTAATTTCAGTACAGAGCATTTTTTTCTCCAGGGTTTTTTTCTTCTGGATGCTGGGTGTCAAACTCAGGGCCTCGTGCATGCAGGGCAAGTGCCTGGCCACTGAGCTACTGCCCCAGCCCCAGCACATTCTTCTTTCAATCACATTATTTTTCTTAAGAATTGAAACTAAGTCCATTCAGATATTTTCAGTTTAACCTTATATAAGCAGGTTAATAATGAGAGTTAAACATTAGAATGGTTTTGCAGAGGTTGAGAATTTTTCTTGAGACATTTGGACTAGAACATCAGTGGTATAGTCTTATAACATCAATAAAAAGGATTATTTTTAATGACCCTTTCCTGTTCTATGCTAATAATTTTAATTTAAATATTTTGTTCACAAGTTAGGGAGATGTGGTATTGTTTCTCCTACTGTGTCTAAATCAATGACCTCATGCTCTTTCCTTGGAAAGTACAATTACAGACAATAGTCTTTACCAGGAAAGTGGGAATGAAATACAAGTATCTAATTTCTGACTGAAAGGACAGTACTATAAGCTTTTGGATTTTTATTTTGTTTTGTTGTTATGAGACATGGTCTCGCTGTATATTTGGGGCTGGCCTTGAACTTACTGTGTAGCTCAGGCTGACCTTAAACTCTGGCCTCACTCCTCCTGCCTCAGCGTCCAGAGTGCTGGCATTACAGGCATCACCACTGCGCCTGCCTGAGCTTTTGGATTATACATACTATAGGGAATTAGGCAAAACTGTTTTTCTTCTCTGTCAGGATTTCTCAGCTTCTGAAAATTTGGGGCTAGACAGGTTTTGTTGTGGGAGGGGAGTGTCCTGTGCCTTACCTGGAACCCTAGCTTCTGTTCACGAGATGCCACTAGCACCCACTGCAGATGTCTTCAGATATTGTCAGAGGTGCCATAGAGGACAAAAGTGTCCCCCACTTCCCTAGCCCTGAGAACCTTGCTTTGTATTTTTTTGACCAAAGATCTCAAACTTGAACGAGCACAGGAATCCCCAGGATGTGGTTGGGGTGCAAATGCTGACTCAGCCTCCGAGATCCCCATTTCTAACAAGCCCAAGGTTGGGATGGGTGTTGGTCAGAGCTTCATGCTTTAAGCAGCAGGGCTTTCGATTGCTCCCCATTAGGCACAAGGGGGTGAATTCTCAGGTGGATCTGATGACACTGATTAAGGAAGCAGCGACTTTACAAGCTGTAGCTGAGGAAACACAGACTATTGGGGAAGAAAAGCAAGCGCCTTGGAGCAGCTCTCCTGCCAGGCAGCTGTCTTCACCCTTCCTGCTTCCTCCCAGCCCCTGTTCACAGCTGGACAGTTCTGAGGGCTCCATTTGCAGCGCCTTCTCGAGGTTGCACAGGCCGCACAGCTTCACATGCAGAGGTGTTTTTTATCTCACATGCTGTGACTGTGCTCGTCCATAATATACATTTATTGCCTGTTGAGAAATCTGTGCTCCCACATTAAAGTAGCGAACTCTGCATTTACTTGATCTGATGACGTTTTAACTTTTTTGTCTTCTCTCCCTGAGAACTATCGACTGGACCTGAATTTAACACCACCTAAGATATTGTCACCACCTAAGATATTATCCTTTTCTTACTGCAACTGTTCCGAGAGGGCAAGATGTCACATTAAATTGATTAAGGAATATCAGTTACAGTGTTGCTTTGTCCTATAATTTTGTGATAAAACTCCATGTAAAATATAATGAAAGTACTCACATAAAAAAAAAAAAAAACCTCTGCATTTCATCTGTGATACTAAAAAACATACTTATTTGCCACGTTGAAAATGCCGGACACGGCACACATTTATTTCCCCTCACATAAACAAAGTGGTTGTGTTGCTGCTTTATCTCGCTGTTGCTTAAAATAGCCTTCCTAGGACTGCTGCAAAGAAGGTTTTTTAAAAAGGAATTAAAAGTCACTTTTATTTAAAAAGATACAAAGAGACAGACAGGAGCACTAACTACTTTGGGAATAGCTTAATTATGAATTGGGGATATAGAGTATCACTCTCGTGAGCTGCTTTAGGGAGATTTATTTCAGAGCAGCCTGTGAAGACATTAGGGAAGGCTATTGGCAGGCGCTATTTAGCAAAATTTAAGATACACCTACTCTTGACTCAGCAGTTCCATATTGGAAAGTCGGTGCTTGCGTAAGTATGGAAAAATAGATGTTAATTACAGCATTTTCCCATTGTAGCATTATTAGAAGTAAACCCAAACTGAACACTATGGAAATACCTAATCATGGTGAAAGCTTAAATAAGGCAGGGGATCCCTGTAATGTCGACCTCTTGGTGGCTGAAGAAGGAGCAGAGACAGATGGATACCTCCGCATACAGTGTTAAATGGAAAAGTCACCTTGCGGAATTTAAGAGGAAAACATTTGTCCTTCCGTGTGTGGAGGTGGGGTGGGGTGCTCACAGGCATGGAATTAAAACGTCTACACCTCAGACCAGTGGTTACCCTTAGAAGGGAGAGAGGAATTGAAGAGGGAAAACTCTTATTCTCTGTGAGATTCTGGGTTGGGATTTTGACAGTGATGCTCATGCATTACTTTTGTGATGAAAGCATCATTTTGAGAAAAACAGAAACAAATCTGGGTTCTAGTTCTACCTCTACTGGTTACTAGCTACTGATGTCAGACCAGCGATTCTCAAACAGGGGCAGTTTTGCTCTTCTACCCAACATTTGGCAGTGTCTGGAGACATGTTTGGTTGTCACCTGAGGGTGGTATGTGTTGAACAGAAGCCAGGGACACTGCTGAGTATCACACAGTGTATAAGCCAGCCCTCCACAGCAAACAAGTATCCATCCTAAAATGTCAGCTGTGTAGTTGAGAAATCCTGTATTAAGACTCTAGGGCTGTAGCTGTGTTCAGATGTGCAGGTTATGTGCTGTGCAAGAATCTGGGGCACCATTCTCTTGGTGGGGTGTACCATGCATGGCCACAAAATTAT